CGACCCATGTTTATATAGACTTTATGCATTAATTTTAAAAGTTCTATCGAATCTTCAAGTTATGCAACAATAAACTGAAACACTCTGGATAGTCCGAAACCACTTAAGTTGGATTTAAAACGTTTGCTCAAGGCGTAAAGAGATTAACAAATTGAAGTAGCATTAAAGCTGCAACTTAACGTAACAAAGTTACCGGCTGGGCTTCTAACAAAAACACGAAGGGGACTTCGGGGAGCTTCGAGCGAACTTGAAGCATAAATTGAGAAACGCCGATGGCACGTGATGGACGACTCTAGAGCATTAGACTCGAAACGTTCGTCGTTCCATTTCAAAGTTCTGGCACGTCCAGGACAACTATGATAGTTTTTGTTTTGACTCCTGGGGCAAGCTTTGGAGGATACGGGAATTGCCCACGGTCTGTCTGCCGGTGACAAATAACCTAACTGTTTCGTGATTCCGCTGTTTGTTCTGGTGAAAGTCCCGTCATACTTCACTTAATGCAATCTTTAAGTATGCTTGAGTAATGACGTTCATTTTTCCCCCGCTGGGCGGCGCTTCCGTGGTTGGTGTCAAACTGTCCAAAGTAGTCGAGAAAAGACATGTCTGGTAAAAAGGTATACTATTTTTCATTTTTCATCATACTTTGACGTCTGTTGACGTCACCAGCTTATCAGAGCTTACACTATAACTGGCCGCCCTACCAAAATATTTTGAGAACTGCCATTTTATAAAAAAATCTTCAAACAAAAGTTATAGGGTTTCGAAATGCCAAAATGATGGTGACCTTGACACTGACCTCAACTAAGACCTTTAATGTCATTTCAAGGTCAATAAAAATTTTCAAATGAAATCATCGGAATAGAAAAAGCAGGAAATTTAACGCCCTCTAACTATATTTAAGCTTGTCACCACCTTGACTTTGGGGTCAAGGTCGCACTTGGTCGAAAAAATTTCATACTTTTTCCAATTTCCAATATAAAAATGAGAAGTTTTCTTTGCAAATGTTAACTTGACCTTGAAGAACATAATCGAGGTCATGGTCAAGGTTACCGTACGGTGATATTCACAAATTTAACAACTGCATTGTAAAACATTTTTGCTAGAGCAGATCACCTTCGATGTCTTGATTTGACCTTGACATGGCCTTGACCGTGATAGTCAAGGTCAATATTTAGGGAGGGCTCTATTTAAAAATGTTCGCCTGATTTTAAAATAATAATAATTTCTATGTGATGTCAAGGTCATTGCCATTCTGCGACCTCGAAGCTCTACAACTTTCATTTACGTCTCTTTTCGAAATATTTAGCTAGGTAGGTTGAAATGAGACACCGTGATTACGCAGTTGAATACACTAATTACTGGTGGCTTGTAACTCAGTTAGACATGGTCCAGGAATGGTCATTTTGTGATAAAAATGTTCTAAGGAAATCACTTGGTAATTACATACAAGCAAATAATTAATGCATAACGGATGCAAATCCCACTTCTAACGTAATTTGAATGCCTGTCGTTCATCTAGACCGATAATAAAGTATAGTTCTTTTTACAGTTTTTGGAGGTAAACATTACAGAGTTACTCGAAATAAGTAAACATATTGACTGAATCTGTCACCTGCCGAGCTTAACTTTCTCAAGTGGAAAATGGACACTGCATTTGCTGATCCTCAGTGCTTTTGCTACTCGATTGCCCATACTCATGAACCGTGTGATAAATTTAACAGATAGATATATTTATTGTCTTGTAGATCATTAAAGGTGACATAAGACTCGCTCTAAGAGTAGGTACGAAGTACACATAAATAAAAGTAAAATAAAGTATTTACAAGATAGTACAAACAGGAACAACTTAAGGCGTACAGACATTTACATATAACAATAAGTTTAAAAAATTTGAGATATATCACAGTGGAAGGTATTCAGACAACGGGTAGAAACATTTTTCAATTAATAATTTTCGTAGTTGTCGTTTAAAACTAGCAGTGTTACTGACATTTCTGAGATTAGCTGGAAGTTTGATATATATATTCTAATGCAGGCGTATTGACGTGACTGACAAGAGAGACTGTATGTCGACTTTATAGTAGTATCTTCAGACATGTGTGTATATAATATAATGTAAGCTCAAATCGCACGCCTGTGTGAAGCAAGTCGTCATATTGGCACTAACAGACATTATTTATTTATTTACCGTTTCCCATTACATACAATAAAGTTACGTTTTTTACATCAACTTTATATAATTATTAAACTACAGAAGAACTAATCATATGATACTGATCTACTCAGATTTAAAACTTAACGAACTAAAGTTAAGAAGAAATATTTTTCATATATTTTTTGGCATGCTTAATATCATTACTGGAAACATCATTGTCTAATCTAAGAATTCTAGAAACTGGTTCATTCATACCATAACTGGTAGAATTACATGATCAAACGAACTTACCTGTCAGTGATGTTCGATCTTAATTATGTGAAGTCCTCGTCGAAGTAAATATTTAGAATACACCGCCGGCGGTTGGGTACTACTACAAGCGTACTACGATATGTACCCTAAATATTTACCTCGACGAGGACGGAACATAATAATGTGTAATCTGAAACAGATCTGTATTGCCAGTTTGTCTTTCAGTAGCGTTAAGATGTATTTGTGCAAGCAACACTTTGCGATCTATGACATCATTCACTATTTTAAGCAGATCAAACATTTCTCTGCGCTATTTCAAGGAGTCTATGTTCAACGTACTCACTAGTTTTAAACCATTCTGTCTTCACCCCATTTTTATAGAGATGCCTGATTTAAAAATTAACCTTGCACTGCTTCAGTAGAATTAATGTCACCAATTAGATTTGGCGATCATATCACTGTGGGTACTCCAAAATACTCCGCAACAAGCCGCACTATAATATTTAATAACTTCCACAGTGAGATGTTTGGATATTTTATATGGTTTAGAAGTAGTTTCTCTAATGTGTTTTAAAAGTTAATTTTATATCAAAAGTGATACCTAAATTCGTAACCATATCAGTTGTCATGAGGGTACCTTATATTTTATACATGAACGAATTTGAAATACACCTGAAGCTTATCTCGTAGCATTCATTCAAATTGATGGTGATCTTACTGGTACTGCACCACCAAGTAAGATTTATGATATCTCTTTGTAAGATTCTCGCGTCTTGGATGTTTCTCACTGTTTTGAATAATTTGAGATCATCTGCAGAATTCAAATAACTGCTATTTGATATAGATTTTGCAACCTCATTAACAAATACATTGATGCACAGACTTACACATTGGTGAAAAAAAAATTCAGTGTTAAATTTTCATACAAAAGGTGAGGTAGACGATTATGAAACAATAAAGATGCTAAAATGGAGACGCAGGTCTCAACTCTAAAGAATTCAATTATCTTGGGCATCACAGATATCATAAATCGTAAGGCGACCGAACAATTACAGCTCTTTGTAGAAGAGTGAGCTCATAAAGTGTTTACATCAGATAATTGGCCCGTGGGTCGTGAATTTATCCAAGTTTTAAACACTACATATTACTATAATAAAAACAAAATTAAATTCTTCCTTTACATTTGGTGTTCGTATTCCATTGTTTTCCTCATGTGTCCAATAACCCAAAATGAAGCTGATTCATTTACATGTTTGAGCAGTGCTCTCGTGCCTTTGTTATGAATTATAATTGTAACCGGTGAATACCATATTATAATACCGTTTTATTAATGTTTCCATAACAGCATGTTTACAATTTAAAAATAGCTGGACATGTTTTGATGTGTTTTGAAATACTACTATTTTGAGAAGTAATTACCATTTGATTAATGACAAACTCATGATAGTATAGTAAATTAACTATATGACGTTGTTAGACTGCACGTGGCATACATATATGGGTGGTTATCTGAAATTTGGTTAACTTCTGATGTAGTTTTGAAAGTGGTGTTTTTAGTTAAAAATCAGAACAGCTTATATTCTATGCTGTATGTATAACATCTACTATGCTGCGTCTAAAAGTGCCAGTCGCTTTACTTGATATTTTTAGAGAAATTTATGATTTTTTAAAATCAGTATTCTAGGAACTGACGACCAGTGATCGGGACTGACACCAAACACGGTTATTATGTCAAATCACATTTTTGTTGCAATATCAACTCTAACAACAAATTATCTCTTAAGTTGATAAATTCTATGAACTATAATCACAGCACAGGATTTATTTTTTTAATTATTCACGTGAAAATAATGTATCAATATTTCTCAACAATCAAATTGTTCAATACTTACAAACTAATAGTCCTTAAGTAATTAACAATTATTTTAAATAATCAGCTTTCGAAAGTTTTAAGTTACCAAATTATAATTTTAATACAATATTCAGACTTTCATTAATTATTATGAGATCACAGATATTTCAATCTTAAACTACATAGCACCTCTTATTTATTTTTATCACTATTTGCTTTACTTCTCGTAAACATTAATGGGTTTTTTTCAATTTGTAAAGTACTATATTTCTCTTGACGATTAGATTAGGAACTGGTAGTTTTTCTGTAACGTCTTCGTAAGGTATGTTGGCGATATCATTATAATTTATTTTAAATTCTGTGCCTTTGGCTCTGAATAGTATCGCCAAATAACGCTTTTTTATCAATTCTGCTTTTTGATTAGGGTCGCTGGCCATTTCTACGATTTTACTTTCTGGTGTCAGTGCTTGCTTCTTTTCTATCATTCTATGTTACACTCTTCTGTTTCTTTGTTATTCGCTGGCAAGTTTTTTCTTTAAATTTTTAATGAGTGAGTCCTTCCTCTTCAGCATGCTATTTCTTTTTCTCCGTTGAACTATACTCCTCCTTCTAGCTTTAGCTTCTCTTTGATTATTTAATAAAGGAACCTCAGGGATAATTTCATCTTCCAAAGATGGCGACGTATTTTGGTCCACGTATTTAACTGAATTTTCACAAATCTTTTGTTTTTTCTATAATCAGATGAATAGGCTACCCAATTTTGTCTTGCCTTTCTGTGCTCACGCCGATTCATGTCTTTTACACACTTCCGTTGTCCTTTTTCCTTTTTCTTTAGATATTTTTAATTTTTTCCAATCGTCTCTTTGCCTGTTCAGACTTTTTTTTGCAATTTCGTCTTTAGACAAAATACATTGGTATTATGTTCAAAACTATGCATCACGCAGTATGATCATCAGTACCTAGATGTGACGTCAGGCCCTAGTCACTATTACGACTAGGGCCTGACGGTCTACGGTCTGACGAAAAGAAACACAATCAAATGAAAGCTATTATTTAAAATCAACATTAAAACCAATAGGCGGTCAAAATAACAAAGCAGACCTAGCTCATATATTCAATAAGTAATGAGATCAATTAGTAATTAAAGTTTGGCAAACGGATCTGCAACAGCGAAAGGAATGCGACCGAAAATATTCGATATTGCCAAATTTAACTACAAAAAAGCAATAATGATAATAAAAGTAATTTCAATGATCTGAAAATCGATTTTTCACAATTCCAAAAAATAATAATTCAAAATACTGAGTATTTTAATGGGTTGTTAGCTCTATTTGTATTTAATAACTATTTTTTACTACTGAATCGTATTATAAGTAAACATTTTTCCAAAGATCTTATCGACATCGGTTGAGCTGGCAACAACCACCCGAAAGGTATATTGGACACCGCCTAAACAAATCTGATTGGCGGATATCCTCACATGTTTTGTCGCCATGAGAAAATTCGACTCCCTATTGGGTACCATCCCAGACAATTTTTTGCTCCTTTCTTAGAATATCCATACTATTGAAAAGTCCAGTGGCGTAGGTTTTATCTCCGTTGATTGTCGAGTTTTACAACTATTATTGTTAACTATTAATTGTTCTATTAAGTTTGTATGTTTAGTGCTGTGTGTTTTTGAATAGTTTAGTGTTTTGTTATTTGTTATTGTTATTCGTTTTAGTATTATTTTTTAAAATGAACCAATTTACTCGCGGAAAGACGTTTCATAGCCAAACAAGAGAAGTGATTGCGAATGTTTATAGGTTAGTAATAATAATATGCAATAATTGTAGTTTTTGACTACTGAGTCTGAATATAAATAAAAAACAAGGAAATGCTAAGCTAACATTCTGATGATTATTTATGGGGTTTGCGATGAGGAAGCGGCAAACAATTCCCTCAAGTTGCCGCTTAAACGTAAGCTTGATAGGGTGTCCCTTTATACCGGAGTCGGAGTATCTTCTGTTAGGAAAATTCATAACAAAGATAAAGAAAGACTAGAAAATAACCCGAATAAAATGTTATCCAGTCCCGGAAAAAAAAGACCGCGTCAGTCTCTTGTTGAGAAAGATGAAAATTTTTATTTTCAGATTATTAGACATTTGATAAACAGATTTTATCTTGAATATAAAGTTGTCCCGACAACTAGGAAGTTATTACAAAAGTTGCGAGAAGACTCAAATTTCCCCTATTGTAGGGAAACACTCAGGAGTTTATTCAAATCAAATGGTTTTTTTTGGCGCAAATGTCAAAATAAAAGAAAAGTTTTGATGGAGAGGCCTAATATATTGCAATGGAGGTACAAATACATCCGTGAAATACGTAGATATCGTGAAGAAGGGCGCAACATTGTTTATTTGGACGAAACCTGGGTGGACAATGACTTGACTTTCAAAAAATGCTGGCAGAGCGAAACTGTTTCTGGTGTAATAAGCAGTATAGGTTCTACAGGTAAGCAAAAATGCTATATATATATGTTAAATTTAACTCTGATTTGTAACATATTATATAATCGTCTTGTATATTTTAGGTCGGCTCATTATAGTCCATGCAGGTTCAGAAAATGGATTTGTTGACAATGCCTGTTTGATATTTAAGGCGGGATTAGCTACAGGCGATTACCACGGTCAGAAGAATCGGGAAAATTTCACACGCTGGCTCACAGAAAAACTCCTCCCGAATATACCTGCCAATTCGGTTATAGTATTTGACAATGCTCCATATCATTCCGTCCAGGAAGATAAAACCCCGACAAAATCATCTTCGAAAAAAGATATAATAGCCTGGTTGACAAAGAAAGGTACTTATGACTCAAAACATGCATGTACATATCAAACTATACAATAAAATATTTTATAGGCATAAATCATGAGGCAACTGCCAGAAAATTTGACTTGTTCGATCTGGTCTTACTTCATAAGCCCCCTGGCAACCAAAAAAATTATGTAGTTGATCGGATCATAAGATCACATGGACATACTCCTCTAAGAACACCTCCTTATTTATGCGAGCTAAACCCAATAGAATTAGCTTGGGCAAAGCTTAAATTTCATATAAGAAGCCGCAATACCACTGGAAACTTCAGTTTAACCGCACTGAAAGAAGTTACTCAGGAAGCGATGTCCTTAATATCCATTAATGATTGGCAGAAATTTTGTCAACATGCTAGGGACATTGAAGATAAATTTTGGGAAAATGATCAATTTATGGAGGAAATGGAACCAGTTATAATAACTATAGGGCAAGATGACGACAGCGAAACTGATGACGACAGTGACGATGATGATAATGATGAAGTTGACGAACACCAATGCTAATTCAATAGGTGAAATGTAATTTTGAAATGCTGTATAATGTAAGTATTATTTATTACAGAGGTTATAAGTTAAACGGATATGAAATATGTTTAAAGTTCTTTGTTTCTATTTAAGCGACACCGATGCTCTAGAAATATCCACATCAACAGTCCAAAATTGCAACAATAGGAATCCAGAAAGATGCGGATTATAAAATAAAAATTAATTCTGGTCATGTTTCGGCTTGTGGCACTTTTTAAAGTAAATGAGCATATTATAAGATCACGGATGTATAATATATATATAAAAATAGTGGTGTCTGTTGCGTGGCTCAAACGAAATAAAAAATGGCACATGTTTATGCGGATCGGTTTCCCAATCGAGTGCAACCAACCCCTCGTGCCTTTGTTAATGTAGTACAACGGGCTCGTGAATCAGGTGACTTAAGACCTCACAGGTAAACATTTTTTTTATTTTTACACACATATTTTGGTTTATCTTCCTTCTACAATCATTATCTGAAAATTAATGACTCAACTTCAAAGTCACCCTGTATATATATATATATATATATATATATATATATATATATATATTCTCAAGGTAAAAAACCACGTTAAGTATCTATTTGTATTTGAAAAATATATTTTATTTACGGCTTTGACAAAAACGCTAGCTTGATTTAGGTTTTAAATCGCGCAGATATCATGATTTTTTGAATTGTGGCAATTTTGGGAAGTGAGTAGACATTTTTCCGTTTGTTGAAGTGTAGAAACAAACTCAAGTATTTTTTTACATGGTGTAGATTGTAGAGAACAGCTATTTTTGAGTTTACCCGAGACTTTGTTTATTATTATGGACAATGCTCCATATCATTGTGGGCTTATTGAGATACTCCCCAAATTTAAAGTGAAACATAAACGTATAGTTTACTAAATTTAAACCAATTATGAAATAATCCCAAACTTTTATAAAATACCGCACGCCGCTGGCATTTTATGAATGAAACCAGCCATGTTTTGCTTTCCCCTCACCGATACCCCGATGTTGCAGATCCGTTTGCCAAACTATAACTATGTTTAAAACGACTTACCTAGGGCCTGAGTGTTTGACTGGCACAGCACGTGTTTCCGCAGCAAAGTCGGCGACCGCACTAATAACAAAATGGCTGCCGCGGCTTGGCTCGTGTATGCAACTAACTTCACACCGCTGCTTCGATGCCGCGTATTTTTGAATTTCGTAAATCACTGGGGCTTGATATTGTTTATCGCTTACACTCTTTGACTTGAAATAATGTGATCAAACATAATTATTTTATAAATTAAATCGTAATGACAATGTAAGTAATGTAATAGTAAACAAATTTAAATAGAGTTTGATCAAACTAATTTAACACAACAAGATTACAGTGAAGTGAATACTAAATTCGGGAGATCTTACATGGCTAGGGCCTGATATTTGGAGTGAGAAATGTCAATTTTTGGAAATAAAGAATATTATGATATCTATCAAAATTAGTGACCGAACTAAATAGACTATAAAACATCGCTTAGTAGTTTTAAATATTGGATATGTATTTTTTAATATTGTGAAAATTCATCCCAACACCAAGTTAACCAAGTTTCAGATAACCACCCGTATGCTCGTATTTTACGCTTTTAATACATAAATAACTATTGAATTAACTTCACTGTCGGATAGTTAAGATGCAAGAATATATTAGTTTAGAAGTGACCACCTCAGGTGGTTTATATCTTAATATTTTATTGAAACTTAAAAACTATGTATGAAAAACAATATCAGACAAATATCCGCGTCTAGAAGCCATGCAAAGCTAAGCTCGCTTGATTACATTTTCTATCACTTTTTGGTAGGTTTCGGGAGGGATATCTTCAATCGTTTTTCGAAAATCCTAATAAAAAAGTTAGGAGCCGTTAAATCCGGTGACGGTGGCCAGTTGGCATCACCAAATTGAGAAATTAAACGTCCCGGAAATATTGTTTCCCTAGCTGCGTGACAAGTTGCTTAGTCCAGCGGGAACCACATATTTTGCAGGTTAAATTGTTGGACTTGAGAAGTCAGAAAGTTTTGCATCATATCACGGTAGCGCTCGCCAGTGACATTAAAAGAGTTACATGCAGCGTCTTCAAAGACGTTAGGTCAAATGACACCTCCATATCAAACAAGGCAAATGCAAGTCTTTTTTTTAAAATAGTGCATAATGACGTGCGACGAATGCCCAGTTCTTAAGAACGATGTCTCGTAGATGTCTCAGGGCGCTCCACTACACTTTCACGAACTCTGTCGATATTTGCCGGAGTACGAACAGTTCGAGCACGGACTTTGGCAAGCCTTTAAATTTACATTTTTGTAATTCATTTCTGAAAAATTCTTTCTTCGTTCTTCTTACAAGATAAGCATGTTTCCTTTTAGATAGACCATAGGCAGGTATCAATTCTTGATGATCATCTTTTAAAGCGTACAGGACTCTCTCGATTCTTTTCTCGTGGCCCGTTACGTATCTGGAATTGGGGTATTCTTTTAAAGATTCTTTGTTCGAAACGAGAAGTACTCTATTGGAATATCAAGCGTAGCGTATTATATAGAAATTTTTCTGTACATTTTTAATAAAAAACGAATTTGAAATTAAAAAAAAGCTTGAGGTACTAAACCGGAAGTATTTAAAACCAATTTTTGGGCGACTTTGTATTTTGTTATTCCCGATTTTTTCACAACAAAATATAGCCTGGAGTGGGTTTAAAATAAAATTAAGGAAATACGTATTTTTATGTGCATACATGTCGCCTTGCGTATGACATC